TATCTTTTTTAAAGTAAAAAAAATAATTTTTTTTCTTTGTTTTTTCTTTTTAATTTTGCTGTAGAGTGCATGTGCTTCTGAGGGTAGGGACAAGGGGAGGGGTTGAAGAGTAAGAAATCACCCCCTAGAGAGGAAGGCCACACTGCAATTTATTCTCCTCCACTCTCAGGATTTTGAGCACATAGACACATGTCCCCTATGTGTTCTCAAGCACCAGGTCCAGGAATTGAATCACAAAGTCAGCCCTGTGGAATTCAGCTGCCTTAACCAGCATCCCACCAGCTGGCCTAGAAAGAATAGTTTTTGAAATATATATTATAAAATCAAAGCTGGTTGCAGAGGAAAGTGAAAGGGGAGATTGATTATAATGAAAAAATAGACCAGAGTGTTTGAGGACATTGAGAGAGTACCAAAATGTAGGTAACAATTGGATACAGAGAAAGTGATCATTTTGCCGGTCCAAAGACAAGAAGTATGTGAGAGAAATTAAAAACCAAAAAAATCACTATTCTGGAGGACTGCAAATATAAATTATTTCTTTAAGTAACATTGGGTGTTAAGACAAAAAAGAAAAGGATTTGGGGAGATATAGGGCAGTATGTTTATTGTATTATGTAAAAAAATTATTCAATTTTACATGTTTATTTTTAATTTGCTACAGAGCACATATGCTCATCAGAAAGAGATAGAGGGAAAGTGAGAAAGAAGGACTCCATGTTTGGGATTCCAACCATGGTTGACAATGTGGGAGTCCAGCGCCTTAACCTCCATACCACCTGCTGGCCCCAGGAATTATGTTTATAATGAAACTGTAATTTCAGAGGATTTTGATGGAAGGGATGAGAGTGTGGAGTAGAGATTTGGGCTGGGTTTAGGCAAGGAAATATAGTTCATTGTTGAGAGGAGCAAGGATGCAGTAGAGCAACAACCTTTGATCAGCTATCCGTAATGGTTAAGAAAACACTGAACACAAATCTCCAATATGTTATGTAAATTAGATGTAAGTTACATGTATTTATTGATGTACTCACACTGTGTAGTATAAGGGGTGTGTGTGTGTATACATATATATAGCAAATATTAAAAGAATGAAATAAAAATACCAGCATAAATGTTAATACTTTTCCACCCATATCCTAGCCAATTGTTTTGCCCATCCCTTGAATCATAAGAGCCTCAAAGGCCTTGTCTTCAGTATAGTTTAGGGTAGTACCTCTTTTATGTGATATACAAGCAGCATGTCATGGAAATGATACCCGCTATATACCAGAGCCCTTTCTTCTGAAGCTCTTTTCTTAAAAACAGTCTTCTCTTAAAAATATTCTTCTCTTGGGCCAACTCCATGGTGCAGTGATAATGTGCTGTTAAAGAAAAGCCAAATCCCACATGGTGACTGCAGTTGGAATTCCCCGCCCATTCAATTTGAAACATGCTGGGCACATGCATGAATGCTCAAGACTAATGGGTTAGAAGACTGGAGGAAGGGGATTGCCACATAACCAGACTGTGTGGAGAGTGCTTATCTTTCCCTCTCTCACTCCTCCACCTTCATACAGACACATGTGTTCTATCATGAATTCTTAAAAATTATGTTTGTCTCAAAAATAATTTTTTTTTTTTTTTGAGAGAGAGAGAGGCTTTTGCTATAGGATACGTTCGCTCACCAGAGACAGAAAACAAGAAATTACCCCCTAGGAGGGATGGCCATGCTTCAGTCCCTTCTTCATTCTTTTCTTGGATTTTTGGCTTGCACACATATGTGCCCAATATGAGTTTTAAGCCACTGGGCCCAAGACTCAAACCATGGTTGACTGCATGGGAATCCAGTAATGTAACCAATTATGCCATCTGCTGGTCCCATCAGAAATAGTCTTTAGGAAATGTTGGCCATACAGTTAAGACATAGTAAGATTAGATTTTGGTGGAAGAAAAAGCATATGATCATGTATAGATAATATTGTGTAAGGACATGATGTTTGATCTCAGATTTTAGCAAAGTCACAAAACCAGAAAGTATATAATGTGAAAATATAGAAGAATGACCCACTAGCCATTAGAGAAAGAAAAGATTATTTATTGATTTTGAAGCAGTAGCTTGGGAAATTGAAATTCGAATAAAGTGAAACTTGAAAGTTGACCCCATTGCCTAGTGGTTAACAGAGCTGGATCCCACATGGCCATTGGTACAGTTTGAATCCCACCCGTGGTAGCTTGAAGATCATGCCAGGTGTGTGTGCATTGGTGCCCAAAATATTGACATGATGGCGAAATGAAGAAGGGATTACAGTCTGACTGAGCTCCATTGGGGGTTGCTTTCTCTCTCTCCCTGTCCCTCCTTCTCTCTCACTTTTGCTCTCTCACTCTCTCTCTGGCAAGCATACACACGCTCTGACAAAATTTTTTAAGTTAAATTTGAAAAATTAAACCATAGGAAAAACTATAAAAATCATAGAATAACAAGCTTCTGGAGATAAATGAAGTTTCTAAGCTTAGAGTTGATGGGGGTGGGGGGAAGGTCATAAATGGTAGTACAGAATATGTGAACAACATACACCTCTGTACTTTAAAACAATATCAAAACATTTAAATACTGGGCATAATATTTGCAGCCAATATATTATCTGTAGAGTTCATGTGGTAGACTTTTTTTAAAAAGAAATGTGGCCCAGCCATCGTTGTGCAGGCATTTGGGACACTGATATGGGATTCTGAAGACCTTGTGGGAAGGCTCTGGGTTTGCATCCTTTGCATCCTGGATCTTCCTGAACACACCATGCTGGGGCCAGCAGGTGGCATGGACTCCCATATAGCTAACCACAGTTTGGATCCCAGACCCGGCGGCTTTCTCTCTCTCTCTCTCTCTCTCTCTCTCTCTCTCTCTCTAGTCAAATTTAAATAAATAAATACATAAAGTTAAATATTTTTTTAAAAAGCCATGCTTCTATACTGCTTGGCAGTGTAAGTCTATATGACACATTTGGAACTCCATTTCTTTCTTCTGTTAATACCTGGATGGATAGACCCTTAAATTTGTGGAAGTAAATACATTGATAAAATAAACTTCAAGATCTGTAAGATGAGGTCACAGATTAAAAGCCTAAGCATTTAAAAGTATGTTCAAATAACACTATTAAAAATACATAGATATAATAAATAGGTAACTATGTGAATGCTACCTTTTTTTTAGAGAGAGATTTTTACAATAGAGTATGTGTACTGTCCAGAGAGAGTGAGTGTCCCAGGGGGGACATTTTTTTAAGAAGATTTTGTCAGGTAGTTATAATTGACTTGGAACTCCTGAGAGTAGCAGCAGGTACCAAGCCCTGTAAATAAAGTTCTGGTAAATAAAACAGTAATAGACTAGTAAACTAACACAGCAGGATAGACAAATATACAGAACTGGTCCTATTGTTCCATGAAAACTTAATATATGATAATAAATTATAGAAGTGACATTTAAATCATAGAGACAGAATGAACTATTCTTTCATTCATGTATTTATTCATGCAATGTTTATTGAAGGCCAAGTGCTATCTTGGATGCCAGGGATACATCAGCAAGTCAAATAGACAGAAGTCCCCATCATTATGGAGTTTAAATTCTAGTTTGGGTAGAGGCAGAGGGTGAATAAATAAGAGATGTGTGCTGAGAGAAAAGTAAAGCAAGGAGGGAGGATAGTGTGTACAAGATTCCATTTGGTGGGGGGCTTATAACCTTATTTCATACTGTATAAAGAATTGCCATGAGTCCATTTGTTAAGCAAGCCAATTTGGCAGGGTTTGTTGTTTTTTTTTTTTTCCTTTTAGTTTTATAGCTACTTCTAATTCATAAAGGAGAATATCTAGTAAATATTTAGTACCTTTTTAGTAGTCAAGAAAATGCAAAATCAAATGGTGAAATACCACTTTCAATTCTCAAATTGACAGAAACTTAGGCTTAATAATAGCAGTTTTTTTGAGTTTGGGGAAATGTATGTTTGCATATGTTGCGGATATAACTGGATGACAATTCTCTGTTTTGGAATTCATTTTAAAAATAGCTCTCAAAAATGAAAAAGGTGCATATATTGTGCCCCAGGAATTCTACCCCAGGTTACTTTTACATGTGAGCACAGGGAGGTATGGTAGTACATCTGTAATGAAAATGTGAGAACAACCTAAATGTTACAGTGATGTATTCACACTATGAAATGCTAGCCCTGCATAGATCACCAAGACATATTGTGGAATGTAAGTAGATTACAGATGGAATATGTACACACCATAAATGTTTTTATTATGTTTTTCAAGAGAAAGTATATTTATTTAGAGAGTAGATATCAATTTTTAAAGATAATACATAGGAAGGTAAAAATCATATGATCATATCTTCGGAAAAGTGACTAAAACAGTTCCCTCTGTAAACGTCAGTTCAAATCTTATTCCCAGCCACATTGTGTACTTACCAGTATCACTTGTCCTGACAATTCTTCTATGTGTGCTTATTTTTCTGATTGCTCTTACTTACCAGTTGAATTGCAGGTCTCTTTGACAGGTTAGGAACTGTCATTTAAATAATAATAATAATAATAATAATAATAAAAGAATAATAATTAAGGGGTCCACAGGTGGCATGGTGATTGAGGCACTGGACTCTCCTCACATGGTCAACCATGGGTCTTGTCCTGGGTCTGGGGACTTGCTTTCTTGCTTTACCTCTCTTTATCTATGGTGTGTGTGTGTTCCCTGTAGCAAATTGAAAGATAATAATAAATTAAATGAGTAATTCTGATAATAATAATGACAGTAATGCCAAGAAAGAACGCACATCTATGTAAAAAAAAAATGTTACCATTGCGAATCTATGTACTTCAGTAATATTTTTGTGTTCTTTATAAAAGAAGTTCATAGTAAATCTAAGTTTTTAAATTTTTCTTAAATTTCAAATTACTTTTTAGCTGAAACATATTTTAAACAAAAAAGAATGTTCGAAAATGAAATTACATCTCTTTTCCTTGTAGGTCGTTTATATGCAATGCAGACTGGAATGAAGATTGATAGTAAAACTCCTGAATGTCGTAAATTTTTATCAAAGTTAATGGATCAGTTAGAAGCTGTAAGTTAAACATTGATCATTTATTTTCTGATTGTACAGAATTCTATTTTATTTCATTTGTGTGTATACATTGGCATTTTAGTTCTTGTCCCTTAGTGGCAACCAGCAATATCAAATAGGAGAAAACTAAACACATTTTGTTTTTATTTGCACCATACTGCCAGAGGATTTGTAAGTATAAATTCAAGTAGGTTAAAATACTTTTGCCTATTGCATCATGTTCCATGTTATTATAGATGGTTTTTGACTCATCCTTTTATGCATTATGAACCTTTTCTGACCTTTCCTCACACAGTCATGTGGGTGATTAATTTGAGAGTTCTTAAATGGCTCTAATAATTAAAATGTACTTTTTGGGGGGGAGAGGTTTTTGCTATAGGGTGTGTGAGCTTACCAGTAAGACAGAGAGACAAAGAGACAGAAAGCGGAAATCACCCCCCGGCGGGGGGGGGGTGGGGGTGGAGGGGCACACCACAATCTCTTCTCCTCCATTCTCCTCTCGGGATCTTGGGCATGCACACATACGAACCTGGCGTGAGTTTAAGCCACCTGTCCAGGTCTTAAACCACAATCAGCTACATGGGGAGTCCAGCGACATAGCCATTACGCCAACTGCTGGTCCCAAATTGTACTATTTCATGAAAGGGACAGTGAAAGAATTGATACACATTGTTTATCTTCTCTTCTTTTGGTCCCAGGACAAGATTCTCTTAGGAACAGGCATCTTCCTCTCTTGCAGAAATGTGAATGTGACGAATGAGTCACCCTCTTGAATCTAGTGTAACTCACAGGTCATTGTAGAGGTTCCTCTTGAGGGGAAATTAAACAGGTTGGATTAGGTGTTGGTGCATAAAGAAGTCAGTGTCACATAGCGTTCTCACGTAGTAATCAGGGCTTTGCACTATGACTTTCTCTGAACAAAATCAAGGCGTACTCATTCATCTCATCTAAGGTTGTCACATTAATGGCTGAGGCTTACTTTCTGTTGGGTTGTCAGAAAAGTCATCGTGTGTTTTTGTATAGAAAAAATACATCATGATTTTTCCAACAATCTAGTATTTGCTTATTTAGTTATATTCCTGATCAGAAGAATTAGAAACTTGTTCAATCAGTTGCCTTATTTTGCCTAGAGAAGCAAAATTTAGACATTACTAAATACCAAAATCATTTACACTAGTTAGCCCAGACTTTTTTTATATTATTTTTGTTCATTTTTCTTATTTTTGGAAAATTAGTTAAAAGCCTGTGCTAAAACACCATTTCCCTACCTGGTTGTATTAAACAACCTGCGTGAGAGTATTCTCTCCAACTTGGTGTCTGGCCCACTGATCAGTAACTCCTACCGTCTGCTGTTAACCACCCAAGGTGGGTTTGGGGCGCTGCTGGGGGCTTTCAGGTGCTCCTACAGCCTGTCTGATCCAGTTCTAAGGGGCATTCTGTGCATAATATATCTCGTTATTAATTTCACAGCATAACAGTAATGGCTAGGCTATAATAACTTTTGTATAAAATGAAACTCAAACAGTTCTTTTTATTAAAGTATAAAGTCAGACTTAAAAAGGGACACATGAAGAGTTTATTATTAACTAAATCAAAGAATAAGTAGGATGTCCACTCCACTGTGAGGGCACAATGCTGTATAATATTTGTACTATAATGTTGGTGTTACGGTTTTAAAACTTCTAGTACATTGTGTTTCTGTGGCTAAGTAATTCCTGTTGAAATTGAGCATATTAAGATTTTTTTCCTGGAATTAAATCTGCCTTTACAAATTATTTTAGCGTGGAACCAGCAGATGGCATAATCCTTATGTCACCAAACTCCCACATTGTCGACTGCGCTTTGAGTCCCAGAAAAAGAATTCAGGCCAGGTGTCTGTGCATGCATGCCCAAAATTTCGAGAGGAGTTTGAAGGAGGGATTGCAGCATGGCCATGCCTCCTGGGGCACGATTTCTTGCTTTCTGTCTCTCTGTCTCTTTCTGTCTCTCTGTCTCTTTCTGTCTCTCTGGCAAGCGCATACACTCCAGCAAAAATCTCTCTCAAAAAATAAAAAGTATTTTAGGCCTGGATATAGTAAATCAGTGTTGTATGCGAGTTGGGGGTTTTTTGTTGTGTTTCTGTTGTTGTTCAAAATAAGTATAACCAAAATTTCCTTAAATCTCCTGGACCTTAATATTTACTTTATTGATTTTATGAAAAATCCTGAGGTTTATTTTTATTTAATTTTTACACTAGCAGATCTTTAAAAGGAAATTTTTAAACAGTTTGTGAAGGAATGGGGCATACAGACTGAAAATTAGTAGAGATACCATTTGTGTTGGGTTGAGGAACACGTTTGTCTAAACTTAAGAAGCTTCCATAGTCCAGTTGAGTTTTTCATCTTATACCTCCTTAAAATTAGACCTCTTTTTTTTTTTTTTACACTAACTGCTGGTCCCAGACCTCTTTTTTAAAACAATATGCTCTAAGGCTGATCCGTTTAGTACTTTTTGTTTGTTTTTTAGAGATTTGCCATAGGGGGCATGCACTCACTGGAGAGAGGAAGTGAGAAGTCACCCCCTGGGGGAATGGCCACACTGCACTTTCTTCTCCTCCATGGTTTTGTTGGGATTTTGGGAACACATGTCTGATGTAAATTTTCAGCTCTCAGGATGGGTCCTCAAACTGCTGTTGACCACATGGGAGTCCAATGCCTTAACCACTACGCCACCTGCTGGACCCTCCTTTTAGAATTTTTAAAAATACATATTTGATAGAAGAATTTAAATTGGGGACAAAATAAAATTTTAACTTATGTATGCCTAGGAAGTAATTTTGTTATTTCATTTTTAGGGAAAGCGATGATATATTAGATAATGCAGCATCATTATGAAATATGTTTCTAATACTTCACATAGATACTGATGTCTTTTTATTCTTGCTTATTTTGATTACTAGACCTAAATTATACTTTCACAGTATCATAAATGTGTTTCCTTAAAAGTGTTGTAATCATTGGGACCAGCAGTTAGCATAATGGCTATGTCACTGGACTCCCACGTAGTCGACCGTGGTTCCAGTCCTGGACCCGGTGGCTTAAACTCACACCAGGCGCGTGTGCATGCGTGCCCAGGATCCCGAGAGGAGAATGGAGGAGAAGGGATTGCGGCATGGCCATCCCCCGGGGGGGGGTGATTTCTCACTCTCTATCTCTCTGTCTGTCTCTATCTGGCAAGTGCACGTGCCCTATAGCAAAAACCTCTCCAAAAAAAAAAAAGGTGTTGTAATCATTGAATTTTGTTTTAAGTACATTTGTCTGAGGCAGAACAACTTTCTTTCTGCAAGATTTCATTGATAGTTTTTTTTTTTATCAAAATGAGTGTAATTTACTTTAAATTATTATTAGGATTCTTTGTATTTAAGCAGACACTCTGAGAATCCAAATCATAACCTTTGTGTACTATTTTATTTTAGCTTAAGAAACAGTTGGGTGATAACGAAGCTATTACTCAAGAAATAGTTGGTTGTGCCCATTTGGAAAATTATGCATTGAAAATGTTTTTGTATGCAGACAATGAAGATCGTGCTGGGCGATTTCATAAGTAAGTAAAGAAAGGAAAACAAAAATTATTTTATAAGCTTGGTTACTATATATCTAGTTTTCTATTGAATACTTTCTAGTTTTCTAATTAATAATTTGGAATTATTTTTCTAATTGTAGAATCTCAGAATAAATTCAGGTTACAAATAGGGTCTTTTCTTTTGATGAAAAATAGCATAAAGAGGGCAAATTTATTTTCTCACTAAATATACCCTAAATTAGCCATTCTTTAACATTTAGTAAAATCTTAAAGTTAATTTAGACAGAATTATAGCCAGGCCCAGTGATGTTGATTTTAGAAATAATCCACTTCAGCCAGCTCAGATGATTGTCATTTTATAATAACGTGTAAGTACAGAGAAATGAATTATGTTTGTTATGGATTAAGATAATATATTTTCCGAAATCAAAACATATCATCAAACCTTGCCGTAGCAAATTTATTTGAAGTATGGGTACTTTTTCTTAATAACAGATTAAAAAAGGATTGTATTCTTAGAATCTAGTATTATTTACAACATTAATTTCAGAGTGCTTTTATAAATACTCGAGTATTTTTCCTTATACTTGCATGACTAATACATAGTTTAATGTTTTTCATTTATACTAGACCAGCTTTCTTTTCTCTTCCAGAAACATGATCAAGTCCTTCTATACTGCAAGTCTTTTAATAGATGTCATAACAGTATTTGGAGAACTCACTGATGAAGTGAGTATACATTCTTTATTGTCTCATTAAAAGAAAACCAATAATGCTACTATTTATCAGTTTGTTATTACATTGTTTAATTTGAGCAGCATATCCCTCAGAAATACCAGGCAATCAAAAAATGTTACTTTTAATTCTTTAGTAGCCTCATAATAAAGGTAAAAAGAAGGCCAGCCTTGTTGCCTAGTGGTTCAGGGAACTGCATCAGACATGGCCAGTTGCAGTTTGAGTCCCTGCCCTGGTGGCTTGAAAGCAAGTTACGTGTTGGACATTTGTGTGTGCAGGCTGGAGCAATGAAGGAGAAGAGATTGGAGTGGTCCAAGCATGCATTGGGGGCTGCTTTTTCCCTCTTTGTCTCTCTTTCTCTGGCAAGCATATGTTCCCTCTGGGAATTTAAAAATAAATAAATAAATAAACAGAAACAAGAAGATTTTTTTTGAGATTTTTGCTATAGGGCACATGCACTCACTGAAGAAACACACAGAGAGAGAAATCACCCCCCCATGGAGATGGCCACATCACAATCCCCTTTCCTCCATTCTCATCTCAGGATCTTGGGCACGCATGCACATGCACCTGGCAGGAGTTTAAAGCCACTGGGTTCAGGACTCAAAACTCAATCAATCATGTGAGAGTCCAGCCCCTTAACCACTGTGCCACCTGCTAGCCTATAAAATTATTTTTAATATTTTATTTTTTATAGTAAGTTAAGTGTTTATATATTAATAATAGTCTATGCTCTTAAGTTTCTAAGTTGTTACCTCATAAACAGATACTGTTTAGTTCTTTTTTTTCTATTTCATTTCCAGTTATTAGTATTATTGTACTGATATATGATTTGTTTCTATTGTACAGTGCAAATTGTTTGGCATTTTGTTTTTTTTTTTTTGAGAGAGAGATAGAGATTTTTGCTATAGGGCATGTGCTCTCACGAAAGAGACAGAAACAAGAGAGACAGAAAGCGAGAAATCACCTCCGGGGGGATAGCCACACTGCAGTCCTTTCTCCATCCTCTCAGGATTTTCGGCATGCATGCACACATGCATGCATGCACACATGCATGCATGAGTTTTAAGCCACCAGGTCTAGGATTTGAACCATGGTCAACTATGTGTGAGTCCAGTGATGTAACCATTATGTTATCTGCTGGTCCCTGGACTTGGTGTTTTATAAGGTACATCATATACATTTTATCAATTTGATTGTCATAATGACTATAAGCAAAGTATATAATCCTTTGATAATGAGCAAATTGAGACTAAGTGACAGACTACTTTGTTGTTTTCACTATAGTAGACTGTCATTGGCATGTCAAATTTGTTTTCCAAAGGGGGAGATATTATTCTGTAAGAGGATGAGAGCTAGAAATGAGACTGATAATGAGGTGTTTTATTGGTGATTTGAATACTAGGAGAACCTTCTTTTTTCATTATAGGACAGTTTTTTTAATGATAAGCAGCTCTTAGTAAAGTTCCAAACAAAAGAAAGTACAATCTACATGTGAGGTATTTACATTGTTATAAAAGACCGTATGTCAAAACTGTAAAAAAATTATTTTTCTTTATATGGAAAATAAAGTTAAGCTCTAGGCTTAATTATAAGCAGAGGTCTTGCCAGAATGAAAATTGTGCAGGACATTTCAAAGTTGTGGTAATAAGAGATCATTTTTATAGCTGGATATGACTGTCTTTGTATTTCACAACATCAGGATTCCTGGCCTTTGCCCACACAATGCCAGTAGCATTCATTAATCATTAGGATAACTAAAACAACCCTAGATGTTTTTAGAACATGCTCTAAGATATAGGGCAACAATGCCTATTGAAAATGAATGCTCTTAGGTCTTCTTGAGGCAGAGTACGGTGTAAGAGAACTGGCATCTGAAGTGTGAAAACCTGCAATGGATATCACCTTTCTGTAAACTGAAGTTCTTAAGGATCCACTGTGTTTCGCTCCCTTCCTACTGTCATTATTGATCGGGATTTCTTCTTACTCTTTTAGTAATATGAGGCACTATGTTCAGGTAACCTGGGGATACAGAGATAAAATGCAGTAGATAGGACATTGTGCAGAACTGAGTAGTTTTGTGCCAGGTGAGTAAAGAACAAGAGTGAGAATTCAGATTAGAAAAGTAAGTCACATGCCACATCAGACAAATGATAGATGGCCAGCAAGCTCTGATTAGTGGAATATTTATAAAGAACTATGCTTGGATGCCTTTGTATGAAAAGAACCTATAGAATGAACTAGAGTGGTGATTTATAAGCTGCTTGGGATCTTGGGTAGGAGGTGGAGAATCATACGTGGTAGGTTGTTTTTGATTTAAGAAAAGTGTAGTATTTTCAGATGCAGATCTTAAAAATTTAAGGTACAGGTATGGCATACAAAAAGAAATCACCAAAAGATTCTTGGAAATGACAAGAAACCAGCCAAGTAGAAAGAACAACTCAGTTATGAGCTTGGATAGACTTCTTCAAGTAAAGTGGCTAGTTTTAAAATGAGGATGACTCAATAAACTTGTTTGGTAAGCACCTATATTTAAAATATAAGACAAAGAAGTTGTTAATAAAGTAACAGACATAGAATTGGCCATAGAAATTCATGGAACCAGAGGAGATCATGATAAGGTGAAGTCACAGATCAGTATGTTAGATGCTTCCTCTCTTCTTGCACTCTCTTAGTTCTCTTTACTTAGGGAAATTACCTTTGCCATCAACTCAGAAGAACACAGTCCTTTGAAGTTTAAGTGCTAGAAATGGAGGAACCCAGATAATAGGTCAAAACAATAGGAAAAAGAACTTGATTTCTAGAAGTCTTAAGTGACAGATTCTTTGCACATAGGATATAATACCAGCACACCCATGAATAGTATGATTCATCTGTTTTTCAGGAGAGAAATCTAGGCTTCCTTTTAGGTACCGTTAACAAAGAGCATCTTCCTTAGTTATTGAATATAGTTAATAGGGCAAAGACTCTAAACTTAGGCTATTGAGAAGGCTTAAAGTTTGGGGGTGGTAGGTTAGGACTTGTTCAGATACTGGGGTTACTTAAGAATACAAAGGGTGTAAGGGGCATTTTCTCAAAATGTTGGCAACATTTTTTTCTCCCATCTTAACTACCCAATCTGCTACTTTAAGCTCTCCTTTGCCTTGCACTGGCACCAGAATAAAGTAGGAAATGACAAGTTTGTTGGTGGATAAAAGATTCCGAGTAGCTCTAGAGGACTGGAATGGTATGGAAAGAAGAAATGAAATATTCTAAGGCCAGAATGGAAAGGGAAGTCTCAGTAGTTAGATGATTGGGCTGAGGTTCCTTCTTGGGCCTTTAGGTAAATTCTGCATATTTAGGTTAAGAAATGTGTATGTGCATAGTTAATATGTACTTATATAGGTACTTTTTACTAACTTAAGTATGCTGTAGCTTACAAAATGTGTACTTTGACTGAAAGTCTTGTATATAAAAATTTACAAATTACGGACACACTTTACTGACTTCTCTTATATCCATAATGCTGTAGGAATGTTACTTTACATGATGAGTGAACTAATTTTTTTGCCACAAACTAAGCTTAGTTAATGTGTAAAGTCAGCCAGCAAAGAAAAGAAATTGTTGTTAATATTGTCCATACTCCATTATATATCTCTCAGATCAATCAAATCGATCAGCTTTGTCTCAAATTCATTTTCTTTCCAGTGTTGTTTTTCCATCATTATTTATTTCTAGATATGGAGTTCTCATTACCGTTACTGAGATCTAGGTTTACAAAAATGATAGTTTAAAGTGTTAAGTTTTATTTTAGAGGTTTTTGCCAAAGGGCTGCCCCTGCACTTGCCAGTGAGAGAGAAAGGGAGAAATCGCCCCCGGGGGGACAGACATGCCACAATACCTTCTCCTCCTGGGATCTTTGGCACACACACACACACACACACACACACACACACACACACACACGCAGCCAGTATGATTTTCAAGTCAGCAGGTCTGAGATTCGAACCACGGTCAACCATGTGGGAGTCTAGCAACGTAACCACTATGCTATCTGCTGGCCCCCAAGTGTTAATAATTTTAAATAATGTTTCAGTTTGGTGGAATAGGAAGGAATATACCCTACCCATAATTTTAGCAGCTCTTCTCCCTTTTTTTTTTTTTTTTTTTTTTTGAGAGTTTTTTTGCTGTAGGGCATGTACACTTGGCAGAGAAACAGAAATCGAGAAAATACCTCAGAGGGCATGGCTACACCGCAGTCCCTTCTCCTCTCAGGATTTTGGTCACAAGTGCACACACACTCGGCATGAGTTTCAAACCACCAAGTCCGGAACGCAAACCATGGTCAGCCATGAGGGAGTCCAACGACATAACCATTAGGCCATCTGCTGATCCCAATTTTATCAGCTCTTACAAACACAGGTAAACAAAGTAGTAGTTTAAGTTGTTTCTCACAGGTCTTCATTATTCAAGAAAATCTAAGGATTGTGTTTACTTATGACTTAGATATTATTTGTATAAAACAAGACACAAGCTCTTGGAACATTTAGTATTATAGAAATCTTAAAAGATGAGATGATTTGGGGGCCAGCAGGTGGCATGGTGGTTAAGGCACTGGACACTCCAACATGGCCGATCACTGTTCGAGTCCCGTATCTGGCAGCTTACTTTCCCTCTGCTCTCTCTCTGTCTCTCTCTCTGGTCAAATTAAAATAAATGAATGAATAAACAAAATTGAATAAATTCTTTTAAAAAATCTGTAAAAAAAAAGATGAGTTGATTTTAAAAACCGAGGACATGAGGTGGTTATTCAAAATATTTAGCAGTTTTAACTCATTCCCTCCTTTTCACTTTAGTTTCATCCTGTACTTTGAAAATACTAGCAGAGACAAAAAGCAGGAAACAGAAAAGTGGGACAAGAATGAGTTTTAAGGATTTCAGGTAGATACATTTTTTTTAAAATAATATCCTCCTTTTATGGG